GTGCGATAAAATGCATGCATAATGCAAGTAATGTGCACAAAACAGTGCAATGAGGTGCGCAAGATAGCGCGATAAAATGCATGTAAAATGAAAGTAATGTGCACAAAACAGTGCGATGAGGTGCGCAAGATATCGCGATAAAATGCATGGAAAATGCAAGTAATGGACACAGCGTAAAATTGCGCGATGCGCAAAATAGCGCGATAAATAGCATACAAAATCCAAGTAATGTGCACAAAACAGTGCGATGAGGTGCGCAAGATAGCGATAAAATGCAAGCAAAATGCAAGTAATGGACAAAGCGTAAAATTGCGCGATGCGCAAAATAGCGCGATAAAAAGCATACAAAATGCAAGTAATGGACAGAAAACTGTGCGATGAGGTGCGCAAGAAAGCGCGATAAAATGCATGCAAAATGCAAGTAATGTGCACAAAACAGTGCAATGAGGTGCGCAAGATAGCGCCATAAAATGCATGCAAAATTCAAGTAGTGTGCACAAAATAGCGCGATAAATAGCGTACAAAATGCAAGTAATGTGCACAAAACAGTGCGATGAGTTGCGCAAGATAGCGACAAAATGCAAGCAAAATGCAAGTAATGGACACAGCGTAAAATTGCGCGACGCGCAAAATAGCGCGATAAAAAGCATACAAAATGCAAGTAATGTGCACAAAACTGTGCGATGAGGTGCGCAAGATAGCGCGATAAAATGCATGCAAAATGCAAGTAATGTGCACAAAACGGTGCGATGAGGTGCACACGAAAGTGCGATAAAATACATGCAAAATGCAAGTAGTGTGCACAATACTGCGCAATGAGGTACGCAAGATGGCGCGATAAAATCCATGCAAAATGCAAGTAGTGTGCAAAAAATTGCGCAATGAGGTGCGCAAGATAGCGCGATGAAATGCATGCAAAATGCAAGTAATGTGCACAAAACAGTGCAATGAGGTGCGCAAGATAGCGCGATCAAATGCATGCAAAATGCAAGTAATGTGCACAAAACAGTACGATGAGGTGCGCAAGATATCGCGATAAAGTGCATGCAAAATGCAAGTAATGGACACAGCGTAAAA